ATTTGAAATGGATTTACTGCATACTTGATTTGGAGTGTAAAAGGTATTCCAATTATTGCTATATATGTAGCATTTGTGTACGTCGAAGTGGGCCTTGAAAAAAAAAAAAATATTACGTAAAAATGATACATTTGGGGCATGGTTTTTCTAGAAGAAATATTCAGAAAAAGTTTATGTGAGAGTGAGCCTTTAAGTGTTAATTGAATGAAAAAAAAAAAATATTACGTAAAAATGATACATTTGGGGCATGGTTTTTATAGAAGAAATATTCAGAAAAAGTTTATGTGAGAGTGAGCCTTTAAGTGTTAATTGAAGATCATCCTTCGGGAGAAGGATTAAAACTTTTTGGGAGAAAGCGCACTGGCAGCTGAAGGAATTTCACCGTGCAGTTTGAAGATGAGTGGTGCTTGCTAGACAAAAGCATTAAAGAGATTCGACACGGCAACGACAACATCAATGATGTAGTCTTTTGGTGTATAAGTCTAATTTGTGTCTGTAATTCTTTAGAACTTAGTGAATTGTTCACTGTCTGGGTGTGGTCCCGTAAATGTAAGTGTGCGCACCGTACTGCGATATCAGTTCTTTGTGTCTTTTACGTTTCTACACTATTATTCTCTACTTTACTTTTTTGCACATTTATCTACTGGTTTCTAAATTCAAAAATTCAACAAAATATTAGTGTTACATAAAGTGTTATAATAGTATGTGTAACACATGCGTAAAAAATTGACCTTTCATTACTATCCCTCATTTACAATTTATTATCTCGTCATGAGTGCTTGTTAATATAATTGTGTATTATTTCTCCATTTAAAATGCTACGTATTATTTACCTTTATAACGTGTGTATTCTCCTATGATATCTAGTTATCCTTAACCTATGAATAGAGGTTACGTTAGCTTGTACGATTATCCCTCACTAGTGATAAAAAAGAATACAAACTTACTTTGACTCTCATATTTATCTTGTACTCTCTTTTGTCCTTCTTGTTTTCTTATAATATTTAGTTGTTCCTTTTATTTTATAGCATAAAACTCACTATTACATATTTCATCTCTATTGTCATAACTATTATTGATTTATGTGAAATCTACTGTTGGAACAAACTTTCATCCCACACTTTACCAACGTTCTTAGACTGAAAATTTGGATTGAAATGACAAATAGCCTAAGGAAATTGGATGCACACTCAAAGAACACAAATCATCTTAAAAAAATGACAAGAGCAAGATAAAAAGAATCTCAAAATAATTGTATTTAAGAATGAGTGTGTACTTTTTCCTCTGAAATCAAATTTCAAGGGATTTATAGTACATTAGGATTGAAAGCAGTTTAATTCTCCCATTAAACCGAGAGTTTAGTCTTTCTTTATTACAATAAGGCTATTCACCTTTCGGGTGTTAAAACTAATAAAATAATCAATATGAATTAATTTTCAGTCATTTAATGTCTTCAATTGTCATCAGTTACTCTCCTTGATGATACTACGCAACCTTTGAACATTCAGCTCGGGCGATCTTGGGCTCGGTGAAGTTTAGGCTCGGGCAAGCTTAGGCTCAGGCGAGCTTAGGCTTAGGTGAGCTGTTGACTCCGAATTTATTACATCTTTAATGCTTCCAAAAATACCACCCAACATCTACAATTTGAGAATTAAGGGTCAATGGTCTTGTTAGCAATCGTCAATTAGAGGAATTGATTCGCTGCGAAAATGAGAGTGTTAGTAAATGTGAAATAAAGTAAAACGATAAATAAGACACAAAAATTTATAGAGATTTGCTTAGAAATGAGAGCTACATCCTCTGTAGGGCTTGAATGATTCTATTATATTTGTTGAAAAGCATTACAATGAGATGTGAGAAAGAAGATAGTGATGAGAGAAGGGGGAATGGTAGAAAATACAGAGGAAATATGGGGAACATTGCTGAAAATGTGTTTAGATGCATGTGAGAATGCATGGAGATATCTAGAGATGTCTGGAGATATCTGGAGATGTCTTGAGAGCGTCTGGGTATCCTGTATTTATAGTTGTTGAGGTCCTGGAGTTGTATCCCATTCTTCTGAGTGATTTGACCTTTAATTCGTGATATTTGTTGCATTTCCAATGATATTTGACATTTCTTTGTACATTCACCTTCCCATTGATCAGTCAAGCTTAATTTGTTGCACATTACGAGTTGATCTCACCTTCTTTCCTCGTGATTCTTGAGGATCTGGTTTCCTTATTTGAAAAGCAATTAAACACACTTAATGGGCATGATTCTTGCTACCCAATTCAACCGTTGACCTCTATCATCTATGATTCCCCTATCTTGACTAGCTGATTTCTTTTTCTTTTTGATGATTATGTTGTCAATTCCAATTTTAGGAATGCATTAAGGATATTCTCTTGTTGCTTCTTGCCTAAAGTTGCGCCTTGACTTATGAGGTCGACCAGTGAGATTGGCTTTTCGGTGAGTCGATATAGCTTGTTAAGAAAGCTGCGGTGACTCGTTTAGTGATTTTTCAGAGTCTAAATTACCACATGTACAAAGAAAGATAAGGTGCGAATTTTGACCTCAACAATTAATAAGGATTTATTTTCTTGAACTAAAATTATTAAAGAATTCTTGATCTTTAATATTTTACTAATTATAATTGTTTTTACTAAAACTGAAACCCTTAACTTTCTCCTTTCATGTGTCCAGCAAGCATATTATTTTTGAAAAAAATATATATATCAATAATGATAGTTAATACCTAGTTTAATCAAATTTTGTTTCTCCCGTGAGTTTTTAAGAAAATGCTGAAACTACCCATTGTGTTTTTCTAATCAACAAATTCTAGCCTTAAAGTGTGTTTGGTTGGACTTTGGAGGGAGAGATGGAAAGAAGAAGAGAGATGGATGAAGGGACATAAACGGAGAGATTCAGGGCTCGTTCAGTTCACTGATTCAAGTTTTTAATTTGAGTTAAGATGTGACTTTATGTGAGAGCTTTTTACTGTAGCAAAAAAGTTATATGTGATTGTTTCTGAGAGCTTTTTATTGTAGTAAAACTCGAATTCTAAATTTGGATCAGTGAAATGAACAGGGCCTCAGTTTCTTGTTTAGTTTTAGAGAAGAGACGAGGGAAAGAAAAGATGGAGGAATAATCTCTCCCCCTGTGCTAAGAATGGCAATGGAGTGGATTTAAAGCGGGGTGGTTTTCTCGTCAACTCAACTCACGAATAAAAATAATACCAATCCTTAATCCATATAAGTAGGCAGAGATAGAGCATATTTTCTCATCATGGATTGAGGACATTTGTAGATACCCATTTATTAAGTTAGTTATTTTTACGAAACATGTAAATAAATAAATAATACACCTATAAATGATTCTAAATTTAAAATAAAAGAAAACTATAGTGTTGAAGTAGTATATTATATAATATTATAATATACTTAAAATTTTGTATAAGCATTATATATAATATACTTAATCTAAAAATTATATATATGATATATAATTAAACGTGACAGGTCAAGACCTCTAAATTCGTACCCATCCTGCACTAATGATGGGTGAAACTTTTAATTACTCGTTTATATCGTGTTTCTCCGGTCCTATTTAAGATGGATCCCCATGGGTAAATTGTAATGACATAGAAAATTCAAAGGTTTATTCTAAAATTTATCGAGACTTAGAAGGTGAATTTTCCTGCACTCACACTTTTGTAATCACAATTTTTGTAAGTCACCAGAATTTTGTGACCATGTAATGTCCGGAAAATTCAACACTAGGAATCCCAAAAATTATCCGGATTTAGACAACGAATTTTCTCAGTAACTTAATTAATCATGAAATTAGAATCTTTAAAATGATAATTATGGCACTTTAGTTTGTGTCAATTAAGTTAAATTGTCATGTGTAAAGTTCAATATTCAAAAATTATAATCTTATGGGATGAAATTCTGAAAATAAAAATATTCCGTGAACTTCAGTATGGAAGTAAAGTTACAAGATTAATATAGAAAATTACAATTTCTATTGAGACATATTTCAGTACGAGAGTTTAATAAATTTTCGTAATTAAATTTCAAAAGAAATTTAAGAGCAATAATAACAGATAATTCTCTATAGCAACAGTGTTAGAAATAGTACATTTGATCTTGCCAAGCACATGGCATGCAGTCAGTAAAATTAAAGATCTACTATCAGTGTAAAAACTACATTATAGTTACTTTTGGGTTGATAGAATCATAGATGATTTGATCAAAAGAAGATTTAGTTTAGATAGGATTAGGATAAGATAAATCCAACGGCTAAGTTTTAAAAAGTAATGATCCAAAGGCAAAGATTGAAGTTTGATATATACACATATATGTAGATGGACATATTTGAAGAATAGGAAAAGGATGGAGAAATTTCATTAGTTTAAGTATATTATGATCGTCATGAAGTTAAAAAGATTTTACGTGATAAAGAGTATACCCTGCATAAATCAAAGGGTTAGGAATTATATAAATCCACCTAAGACAAAAGAATTCATAAACGATATCTACTTTCACTATTTTAGCTGTAACAACTACCTTCCATCAAGATTTAAAAAAAAAAAAAAAAAAAAAAAAAAAAAAAAAAAAAAAGAAGAAGAGAAACCATGTGAATTCAAAGTCCAAGAAAGAAACTAAACAAATATCAAATCACCAAAGTTACCCCACAAGTGTCGGAGAAATCAGTTAATGTGGACAAAAGCTTGCACTAAAAAAAAAAAAAATTTAACTAGTGCAGCCCCACTCTCCATTATCCCACGATTTTCCTATTGATTTTGGTTTCAAAACTTTGCCTAGTATATAGCACATAATGTATTAATAAGAAGAAGATAATGGAATTAGTTTTTTTTTTTTTTTTTTTTTTTTAAAGGTTACAGACCAACTATCGACCAAAGCCCAAAAACACCGAAATGATCAAATCGTTATCAAAATCCACCGATCCACGTGATATCCCAATGTCCGGAAATTCCTTATGCAATTACCCCCAAGTCCCACAACCCAATACCCCTGGCGCCAAATATTTGAAAACCGGTAAAAACGACAACCATGATCTCCACCACCTCTTTCACCTCTCTCTCGCCGCCGCCTCCTCCTTCGACCACCGCCTCTCACCCTCCTCCCTCAGTCGACAGATTCGCTTTCCTGCTCGACAATTCCAGGTCCATCACCCGCCTTCTCCAAACCCACGCCTCTCTCCTCCGCCATGGATTCCACGACCACCCCATCTTGAACTTCAAGCTCCAACGCTCCTACGCCGCTCTCGGCCGCCTCGACTACTCCGTCGCTCTCTTCCGCCGAACCCCACGTCCCAATGTCTTCTTCTGGACCTCTCTCATCCACGCCCACGCCCAGTCTGGCCTTCACGACCAGGCACTTTTGTACTATGCCGAAATGCTGACCCAAGGTGTTGATCCGAATTGCTTTACTTTTTCCACGGTTTTGAAAGTCTGCTCGCTTGAGCCGGGCCGAGCCCTCCATTGCCAAGCGATTAAGCTCGGGTTTGACTCCGATTTGTATGTCAGGACGGGTCTTGTTGATGTTTATGCGAGAGCCAGGGATGTTTGGTCCGCGCAACATTTGTTCGACACAATGCCTGAGAGGAGTTTGGTTTCTCTGACAGCGATGATCACTTGCTATGCGAAGCATGGGAAGGTTGATGAGGCCCGTGCGTTGTTTGACAGAATGGGGGATAGAGATGTGGTGTGCTGGAATGTGATGATTGATGGGTATGCTCAGCACGGGATGCCGAACGAGTCACTGTTTCTCTTTAGGAAAATGTTGGCGGCAAAAGTTAGGCCTAATGAAGTGACGGTTTTAGCTGTGCTCTCTGCTTGCGGTCAGATTGGAGCGCTGGAGTCCGGTAGATGGCTTCATACTTACATGGCAAATAACAGGATCCAAATAAATGTTCATGTGGGGACTGCCTTGATTGATATGTACAGCAAATGTGGTAGTTTGGAGGATGCTCGTCTAGTTTTTGATAGGATCCGGGACAAGGATGTGATTGCTTGGAATACAATGATTGTGGGTTATGCAATGCACGGATTTAGCCAAGATGCTTTGCAACTATTCAACGAAATGTGCAGGATTGGGTACCAGCCTACCGATATAACCTTCATCGGGGTTTTGAGTGCCTGCGCTCATGCTGGTTTGGTCAGCCAGGGCCAGGAATTTTTTGGTTTAATGAAAGACGAGTACGGGATTAAACTGAAGGTTGAGCATTATGGCTGCATGGTAAATCTTCTCAGCCGCGCAGGGCATCTAGAAGAAGCATACGAGCTCATTAAAAACATGGACATCAATCCTGATCCCGTCCTATGGGGAACCTTACTTGGTGCCTGTAGACTCCACGGCAATGCTGCACTAGGGGAAGAAATTGCGGAATTTCTTGTCAGCCAGGATCTTGCGAATTCGGGAACGTACATTCTTCTCTCTAACATATATGCGGCAAGCGGAAACTGGGATGGGGTGGCAAAAGTGAGGACGTTAATGAAGGAGAGTGGGATTCAAAAGGAGCCTGGTTGTAGCTCAATTGAAGTGAATAACAAGATACACGAATTCCTTGCTGGGGATAAGAGACACCCAAAGAGCAAACAAATATATAAGATGTTGGAGGAGATAAATGATTGGCTCAAGGCTAATGGTTACACCCCACAAACAGATATTGTTCTGCACGATTTGGGAGAGAGGCAAAAAGAGCAATCCTTGGAAGTTCACAGTGAGAAGCTTGCGATTGCGTTTGGGTTAATCAGTACTAAACCCGGAACCACAATAAGGGTTGTTAAAAACCTCCGAGTTTGCCCGGACTGTCATGCCGTGACCAAGCTGATATCGAAGATCACGGGACGGAAAATCGTAATGAGGGACAGAAACCGGTTTCACCATTTTGAGAATGGTTCATGCTCATGTGGAGATTACTGGTGACCTGTAACTATCAATTCATGTATTGCAAATTCTTCATGAACTTCATGCTACTATTCGTTATTCTTTCTATGCCAGTTTAACACAATGACTATCAAGGAGACCAATGTTCAAATCGTAGATGTCCAATGTAAATAGTAACAATTCAATAATATATTTTATAAATTATTTAATTTATGCTCTAATTCATAATGCTACTACAAATAATATATCTATTTTTTATCATAAACTCTTAGGATTGAAACTAGTGAGAGAACTTTTTTTAAAATTTTTAATAAATTGAAAATGATAATATTGTGATTATTAATTAATTATTAAGCAAAAAAATCAACCCATCAACCAATAGCAACCGCATTATATTCATAGCGTATCCCGGGATTCACATCAAGTATAAATGTTGCATTGTAGACTATATAACTATACATACGTGTATATACATACATATATATATATATATAATCCATTTTGGCGTTGGAGATCCTCTAATGCATGAATGCAACGGAGGGTAGTGAATTGGGATTTATAATTAGCCGAGTACTGTAACCAGTAAATGATGTGTGCATCATCCAAGATTGCATTCATTCAAAACAGTGAGATCATCCGAACACGAGGCCAACAATAAACCAGTTGGATCCCATTTGATACAGTTTACTTTGTCCTGCACTAGCACAATTTTCATCATTAGCAACAAAGAATATTTTGGCAATAAGACGTGATGCTTAACATTTATGGAGGTAAAGAAGGAATATGTGGAAGAGAAACTCTAGTTTATAGCAATATTTATCAAACTTTTCATCCGTGTATTCCCACTAAGAGTCTGAAAATTGAAAGGTCTGTTTTTCAGTCGGTGTCACAAAAAGTGTTATAACATTTGTTGTAATATTTATGACAGATACGTGCAGATAGAAATATTTTTTCTTTGATTCAACAGCAGCAAATTATAAGTGCAGAAAGATCAACAGAAACATAAAAGACACAAGGAATTGATATTGCAGTTCGGTGCGCACACATATTGTGACGCCCCTAAGTGGGGGTTATGTAATAAAAGTGCGGTAACGGTGCACAAATAGAAATAAAATAAAATAAAACTCCTGAAATAAAAACAATGTCTGCCCATGGGCTTTTAAAACAAACTCTCCGTTAAAACCCATAATTCATCGTTACGTTAAAACTTAGATCCACAGTATAATGTAGCACCAATAAAATATTTAACAGTACGATCATCATCATCAGTTACAATTCTGTCCAAAGTAATTCTGTCTAAAATTTGAAATGGGGTTAATTTGTAATTTTTAAAGACTGAAGTGTGAAAATTTTAAAAATCTAGGCCAAAATGTAATTTTTAAGAAATGTGGGGATCAGAAACGGATAATTGGACACTCAGTGAGTCCAAACTAGTATTAATGCCACTTGGGCGTGTTCCACCTCATCAGAAAAATTCAAAACACAAAAACCCACTTTCTCTCTCTTCTTTCTCTCTCCTTCCACGCGTACGGCTGTACACATCCGGGGAAGATTCCGGCGTCCCTTTTCGACACCTCCCGGCTCGTTGGAAAGCTCTCGTCGAGCCAAGTCCGGATTGGTGTCTTGCGGCCACCAACTCCGCCGAACGCTGCCACACTCGCTGGTCAAAGTTCCGAAAAATCTCGAAAACTTCCGATCGTGATATCTTCGCCGTCCGGTGTCCGATCGAGGTGATTCCGGTCCCAATAGACTCAGAGCGAAGAGACGAAAAAAACGGTACTAGCAGCACGGCTTGATTCTGACCGGAGCACCGCCGCCCGTGGTGGCCGAATTTCTCGCCGCCGCTGCCCACGAATCTCCCTCCTCCGGCCGCTGTGAACGACACCGCCCAGCCCATTAGCTTCAGAGGGAGTCAGTGAGTCGTTCTGGGCCACCAGCCGTGGTCGCCGCCGCCGCCTTGCTGGAAAACGAGCCGCCGCCGAGAAAAGTGGGAGGATGGTTACGGCGATCTAGCCGTTGGATCCTCGTGATCTTGGTGTCAAAATGCTCAGAATCTCACGGGTAATGAAAGCCCCCAATCAATTTTGAAGATCTATGGCTGAAAAACAAAGATTCAAGGTTTGAAATTCGGCCAGAATTGAGGATCTCGATCCGAGTAGTTAGAGGCCGAATTTGGTAAAATTGACATCGCCATTGGATTCAGAACCATCGATTTAGGGGGGGTAGGACTCAAGTCCGCCGCGAGATTCTTCTCCGGGAAGCTCCGCCGCCGTACCGCCGCCGCCGCCGGTGGCCGGATTCCGGTGAAGCTTCGTTTCGCAGCTTCTCGACTTTCGGTTGACGATCCGTTTTGAGGTAGGGGTCCTATTACTTAACTTTTGTGGAGTTTTATTTAATTTAATCTATTTTGTTAAATTTGAGAAGATTTAAATTATATATCAAACTTATTTATTACTGTTACACGATATGACTTGAAACAGAACCATTAGGGGCCTTTATTTTGTTAAGTTTGAGAAGATTTAAATTATATATCAAACTTATTTATTACTGTTACACGATATGACTTGAAACAGAACCATTAGGGGCCCGTCCTGTAATGTACAGCGTGGCCAAGAGATTTTAACATAATTTTAGAAATTGACACAAAAGCATGGTTAGGAGAATGTAAACCGGACACGATAGTGAGATAGTGTGCTAACAGTAGGTGTGGCCGTTCACCATCCCTGGGTGTGAACCCGAAAAGGTAAAAGAGGGAGAGGTGATGACGCTCTCCGGGGTTGAGAATCCCCAAGGCTACTGTACAGTGGTTACGTCCTGGTGAGGGTCTAGAACGACAGTTCACCCTTACCCGTGGTTCGAGAACTAATCTAGTAAGGATATCGAGTTAGAGTTCCCTACCATCAGTCTCTCTGAGTCACCGCGCCCTTCGGGGGTTTATCGTCCCGAGTGTACGGACTAGATTATCTCACTGACACAGGTTTTCATAATTTATTGTGCATAAAAAGTAGAAATTACTAACCATGCAGGTTTAATTTGGGAAAGGTAAATAAAACTAAAAGTGAGTAATAGTTCTCCTACTGAGCATTCCGTGCTCACCCCCTTTGTCCTCTTTCATTTCCAGGGGGTGTACAGTGCAACCTTTCGGACGAGGAGTAGTCACCGATCAGCGTGCCCCTC